AGTGCTGTGTGACTGTAGAGTGTTGTGTGACTGTAGAGTGTTGTGTGACTGTAGAGTGCTGTGTGATTGTAGAGTGCTGTGTGGCTGTAGAGTGTTGTGTGACTGTAGAGTGTTGTGTGATTGTAGAGTGTTGTGTGACTGTAGAGTGTTGTGTGATTGTAGAGTGTTGTGTGACTGTAGAGTGTTGTGAGACTGTAGTGTTGTGTGACTGTAGAGTGCTGTGTGACTGTAGAGTGTTGTGTGACTGTAGAGTGTTGTGTGAATGTGTAAATGAGAACACTGATTGTAGAGTGTTGTGTGACTGTAGAGTGTTGTGAGACTGTAGAGTGTTGTGTGACTGTAGAGTGTTGTGTGACTGTAGAGTGTTGTGTGATTGTAGAGTGTTGTGTGACTGTGGAGTGTTGTGTGATTGTAGAGTGTTGTGTGACTGTAGAGTGTTGTGAGACTGTAGAGTGTTGTGTGACTGTAGAGTGCTGTGTGACTGTAGAGTGTTGTGTGACTGTAGAGTGTTGTGTGACTGTAGAGTGTTGTGTGAATGTGTAAATGAGAACACAGATTGTAGAGTGTTGTGAGACTGTAGAGTATTGTGAGACTGTAGAGTGCTGTGTGACTGCAGAGTGTTGTGTGACTGTAGAGTGTTGTGTGACTGTAGAGTGTTGTGTGACTGTAGAGTGTTGTGTGACTGGGTCAATGAGAACACAGATTGAAGTGTGAAGAGCTTTGATTATCCTGGTTAAGTAGAAAGTCACTTTGTGAGTACGGTCCATTTACCAGTTAAAACCCAACAAATCCCAAWGAGCGGCCTTTCTTTTCACCATCTTTGTGTATTCAGTTAACAGAACTCTACAAATATCCGATGAATAACTTCAACTTTTTCTGAAGTTCTTATTTTCCATTCTGTAATGTCCTGCAAACAGCCCGGGGTACTGAAGTCAGCCTTTAAGRCTGAAACATGGAACAAGAAGGCCTACAGTAATGTCTGTCTGACATCTGTTTCTTTAGAGAAACTTATTTTGAAAGTTCTTTGCAGAAGAATCAACTACGCAGTCTAAAAACTTTCATTTTGTTCCCTTTTCTAGTTTTCACTGAGGGGTTCAACTTTTTAAAACTTTAATTACAATTTTTGATGAGTCTGGAGCAGCACATGTGTCCAGTCACAACATTAAGTTTCAGTTTGTGTTCTGCAGAAACCATTTCTGGCCTCTAATATTCCTCTGACTGCAGCTGAATGCAAACTCTGAAGGACAGAGGTTTGATGATCCAGCTGCTGTCACATCTGCTCTACAGCCAACATTAAGCAGCTTCTACGTATATGGATCTACCACTTCTAATGTCTGACTTCTGTCACTGTTGCATCTTAAAGAAGTGCTGTGTGTGAARGTCAAATAATCTAACCCAGGATATTAAAATCATATAATCTCAGACTTTAATGTGAATAACCACAGATTTTATTGTGTATAAACCTGTAAAGTTTGATTTATATGACCACAGAATTTGACATAGATATTAAAACTTTAAAATAAAAATCAAGCATTTTAATGTGAATAACCGCAGATTTTGATATAAACAATTTGATGTAAATAACCCTTTGATGCAAAAAAAAATTAATTCACAAAGTAGCCTGGACTTCTTTTCTTGCCACCAAGTATTAGGATTGTGGTATCCTGGATGACTGACAGTCTCCACCAACACATTTTACATAAGTTTTCTCAAACGATTAAAAATGTTTTAGATTCAACTTGTTTAAGACAGCAGAAATCTACTGACCCACTGTGATTAGATGTTCGATTCTCTGAGAGAATTTCTGAACCGATCACTGGTTAGATCAACTTCTGCTACAGGTAAGATAATGATTAATCATCATTCCACAAAAAGCACTTTAATCATTCTGAACCATTCCTTTAAATTATAAAGTGAAAATGTTTCTATGATGCAATAATGACATGAGCAGACTTTCAAACACAACAAAAATAAATGAGCAGACAACTGAACTGACATAAATAACAGACAGGTGAACATACAGGTAAACAGACAGGTGAACATACAGGTAAACAGACAGGTGAACATACAGGTAAACAGACAGGTGAACATACAGGTAAACAGACAGGTGAACATACAGGTAAACAGACAGGTGAATATACAGGTAAACAGACAGGTGAACAGACAGGTGAACATACAGGTAAACAGACAGATGAACATACAGGTAAACAGACAGGTGAACATACAGGTAAACAGACAG